TTGGAATCTAAGGATTTAGTGAAACTTTTTTTTTATTTAATTGTGGAAAAAAAGTTCTTAAAAATTTAAATTTTAGTAGGTGTATAATCATATAAAAATATGATATTAACTGTTGAATATCGGCTATCATTTCAGTGATGTACTTTACGTATTAGACATGAAATTATATCAAACTTAACGCACACAAACCTGGAGAGTAAGTTAATAGTAGAGTTAATAATAGAATAATTACGTGCGCGTACGTATTACTTTATTATCAGTTATATAGGTAGTAAAATGATGATACGTACGTAACAAAATAACAATTTACACAAAATAATAGAGATGTTTAGTAAGATGTTATTTCAAAATTGCTACAATAACTTTATATAATTGTTTAAGATAATTACAAAGTTCTTTGTTTATAACTTTTAAACAAGGGGAACTTTTTGGTAAAAAGAAAAAAATTAAATTGCAAGAGTAAATTTAGTAAAATTAGGTGTACAAATAATGAATTTCTTGAGCACGACAGCATTTAATTTTATATATGGTATTAAGTTTGATAATTATACGTAAGTCATTTATATACAATTACGATTATTTACATATATTGATATCGATATATAATTTTTTTTTTAAAAAAAAAACAAGCATTGCACGTTTTATGAACAAGTATTACACGTTTTATGAGCAAATGAATGTAAATCTCTACATATGTAAATGTATTATGTGTATATACAAAAGAAATTTAGTATTTATCATAATTAAGATAAAAATAGAAGAATTATTTAGACAAAAATTTAACAAAATCAAATTAGAAAAGAAAAAAATAAATAACGATAAATAAGCCAAGAAAAATTTAATGGAATAAGCAACAAATATATTGTATTAAAGTTTAAACACATAATTTATGATTAAATAAAAAAGGATAAATGTAGTATATAAATAGCATAGAAACTTTAAGTTGATGACCAATAAAATTACGAAATTCAAAATTTCAAACAAAGGAACGAATAAAAGTTTTCAGGAATATATTATTTTTTTTATGTACTTTATTTTGCATATATCGATATATGTAATTTACATTCTGGGGGAAGGGGGGGCATTTATGTTGGTTACGAAGATATTATTCGTGATAAAATTATATTTGTTTTGGTAATTCAAATAACGATAATTATTTAAGGTGATAATTATTTAAGGTAGATATGTATTACAGCTTTAAAGATATTTATTAATAAATTAAAAGTAATAAAAAGTAATATTTTGTTGTGATTAGAACTCGAATAGAAAAAGTCAATTAGACATTAACAATTAACAATGTTAATTTACGAAGCGAATTTATTTTGTGTACTGTACGCGAGTACGTATGTATGTACATACCTGATACGTATCCAAACCATATACATTGCATCGCATGCAACACTATTAACGTTAAATATGCACAGCAAACTTAATTATAAAAGCCACCAATAATCGGTGTAACATTTATTGATACTTGTTCACATGGGAAAAGTTATGAATGGAGTTATGAAAGTAATGAATGATAGGAACATAAAGAATTAAAATAGGAAACAAGTAATTAAGAGTTGGTAAATGAGATTGATTAATATTTGATTTAATAATTAAAATTAATAAATGTTCGCTTTATTTTTTTGTAAATTAATATGTAAAGAAATCATTTAAATATCAAATTATTGGTTCATGGTTCATTAGTTAAATCAAATAATAACTAGGGCCTAAAATTTTTCTTAATCAGTTTAACCGTTTAATTCGGCCGGCATTAAAATAATTCCAGCCCACGACCAACATAATTCTGCCCGGAACTATGGAGCAATTTTTAAACGGTTCCAATCCCTAATAATAACATTAATTTATAAAAATTTATAAAGAAATATTTATAGAGAAATATTTATAAAGAAATATTTACAGAGAAATATTTGCAGAGAAATATTTGTAGAGAAATATTTGTAGAGAAATCATTTATAAATTAATTAACATATATTAAAAACAGGTTTAAACGAATAATTGCAATCATTACAATAATAAAAATAATAAAAATAATAAAAATAATAAAAATAATAAAGATAATGAAAAGAGACCGTAGATAATGCAGGATCAAGATCAAGTAAGAAGAGAACGATGATACCAGTTTTAAATTTATATGCAAGTATAGTAAGTATACAGAAGTATGATAAGATGTATGGTAAAAAGTAAGATAAGATACGAAACAACATTAAAGAATTTTCCAGATCATAATAAATAGAGTAAATGATATATCAAAATCCTGCATAGAATATTCAAAGAACAAGCCAAATTTTATAACAGTTTCACAAATTGTTACAAATTTGCGAAACAAAGCGCCCACATATGCAGTCATACATTAAAAAAAAAATCCTGTTATTCATAAAAATCTATTATTGGCTAATAACCAAAGACGGGCGGGTTGTTTATTTGTTTGTCGTTATGTTTAGGTGGGTGACATTTTGCTTAACATTGTTCATTTAACAGGTTAATTGAATTGATTTCTTATTTTGGATAGTAATGAAGATAGTCTTTTCAAAATTCGTTTAGAATAGTTAGAATAGTTAGAATAGATTAGGGATTTTCCGGCATATGCACACCGTTTCACCCGATATACTTATGATACGCAAGAGAAAAATCTTTTACTCTACGTATTATGATAATTTTCTTGTGAATTTGAAGAGACAGTTATCGTTAAGAAATGCATTAATAAAGTTCAATGGAGTTTAAAAATAGATTCAAGATGTATCATGTAGATCAATATACAGTATTTATTAATGTGTAATTTTTAGTGTAGTGTAGTGTAATTATTGATATCATATTATAAGAGAGATACAGAGAGATACTGTGTAACGATATCATAAGCGTATTAAAATAGTGAGTTATGTAATAAGCTTTAATAAATTATAAATTGTTGATTTTATTGCACAACATATTAATACTTTTAATGCTTGTAATAACTTATGAGTAACCAAGTTAAAGATTAAAGATAAAGAGATCAGTGACGAATCTTTATGATATCATTATAGTAACACAAATGACCACAGATTCGAATGCAGGAATGAAACGTTCACATTGTTGTCCTCCGCCGAGCATCGTTCTTGCGTAAACATAAACTTTAAAAAAAGATTGAACGTATCTATTAGTAATTTTATTAATAAAAAATAGTGCAGATTTGTACGTAACACATTTGAAGATAATTATTCAGATAATTATTTCAAGTAATTATTCAAGTAATTAATTATTCAAGTAATTATTTCAATTCAGGTAATTATTTCAAGTAGGTAATTATTCAAGTAATTAATTATTCAGGTAATTATTCAAGTTAATATATATAATAGGCATAACGATATGTATTCAATAGATGAAGTTCTTGGTTTAATTAAAATTCCTAAAATTAAATTATCCGTCATCTTGCAGGGATATCATTCGTCCAAAAAGAATAACGGGTAAGTATAAACAAGTGTATAAACAGGTATTATGTATATTAACAAAAAATACTTACGTACCTATGTGAATAAAAAATGTATTAATAAAGTATATATAAACATATATTATATAAACATATATAAACATAAGTATACGGACAAGTATATAAATAGGTATAGTAATGATAATCTGTCATTGTTAATTATTGTTAATTATTATTAATTTCGAGCGAGTCACATTGTTAATCTAACATGGGTCATAAGGAATTTGAGAAATTCGAGAAATTTGAGAAATTTGAGAAATTCGAAATTTAAGAGGGTAAAGATAATAATGAAAACATTTATTGCTTTATCGATTTAGAATGATATCAACAATTCAGTCATTATTCAATCATAAATTACAAATTACTTAATTTAGTAATTCGAATAAGGAACTTAAGTGCTTTGCATTTAATAATAACCTGCAAAGGTCCGATTTGCATTTCATAACAAAGAGAAACTCTCTCTATTATAAATGTTACCAACTACTTTATATGGATCCTCTTTATATAGAACACTCAATCATGTTGGTTAGATCGCTGCACGAGGTTTATTTGATGCTTGTTAATACGGGGTATATATACAATTTCTACTGTATATTAATTGTAGCGTTGTAGCGTTAGCGTTAGGTTTCATCAATTTGGTACATTTTAGGGTCTCTTTATGATCTTCAAATGTACGCCTTTCTTTTTTGTGTGATCGGAACTTTATTTCGAATATATAGTCTTTATTTTAACGATTATATACTATTACTACATATATGTTTTATTTTATATACGTACTAATACTACTTATGTAAAAATTTTTATATATTTGAAAATGAATTCCTGTTACTGTAATTTAACTTTTAATTTAATTTACCAGATTCTATTTTAATTTATATGTCTACATATATATATATATATATGTATATATCTATATATATATATAAACTCATGTATTACTTTTACGTAATTTGTAACGAATAATTAGTATAAATAGGTGCATCACTTGAACCAACAGTTCCTTCCCCTTCTTTCCTTCTAACTCCACAGTTTGTCACTACCATTAGGTCCATCGATTATTATATATATATATATATATAAAGTTCTCCAAACAGTCAACTTGATCAAATTCTTTCCTTTCAAGTGATCATTCTTTGTAAAGATACTTTGATTAGGTTTCTTTTAGTTTTGTTGACTCGTTTGTTGTTGACTCCTTTGTCGTTGACTCCTTTATCGTTGACTCCTTTATCGTTGACTCGTTTGTCGTAGAACTAATATATATATATAGAGATATATATATATTTTATAATTTTTTAAAAATAATCAAAGCATTCGCTCTTCTTGCTTGAATAAATCCTTCGAAAAAAAACACAAGCTTGCGAAAAAAAAACAAGCTTATACATCATACATAGAATCCTTTCTTCTTCCCTCCATTAACCATTAGTCATTCGCACATCTTCTGTCGTCATTCTTATTCTGAGGCTTTTGCCGGACAATTCCCTCCTCTTCCTCTCTTCCAAATATCATCAAATTTTTTAGTTTTTAAAGAATGCAATTTGAAGATATTAAATCTGGTTGGTTGACAAAACTTGGTGGAAATGCTTTAAGAAAAACTTGGAAGCGTCGTTGGTTCGTATTAAGAGGAAATTCTTTATATTATTATAGGCAAAAGGTAAATTTACAAAATAAATAAATTAAATAAATAATTTAAATTTTTTTTTGTATCAATTATTTATCAATAAATTACTAATCTCTTTTTCTTTTTCAATTTTTTTTAGAATAATTCTGAACCTGCTGGTGTTCTTAATCTTTCAACATATAATTCAGTAAGCCAAGATCCGTCCGTCACTAAAAAATCTTCATATTGTATTCGCATTGAAAAGATTGTTCGAGAAAATGATTCGATTAATTCTACCCTCAGTTATAATAAAAAACCTACCACACTTATTGTTTTCGCAGATACAGAATCTGAAATGATTGAATGGATTTCAGTACTTGAAAAACGTTTGGGAGGTCGAAATATTGTTGACATAGTTTTGGATAGACTAGAACTTTCACATAATGTGCATCGTAGACAAGCAAGTTATAGTTCTTTAAGTTCATTTTATTCTAGAAATAGTGGTTTTGGTTCTTCAACTTGTTCCACTTCCGCTTCAACTTTATCTTCAAGACGTCCTTCATTGGAATCTTTAAGTTTAGATACTCCTTCTTTAAATTCAAGAAAGAGTTCTATAGATTCATTTAATGGTATTCATCAAATTATTAATGGAAATAATTTATCACGTCCAGAAACTCCTTCAAATTTAGTAGCTATGTTTGGTTTAGGTCAACCTATACTTCGTAAACCTGCTTCATGTTCTGGTTTACAAGAAAAGAAATCTAATAATACTGGAAATAATCATTCTACTCCTCATCAAACACACGTTCGTAAACTTTCTCTTACATTAAATAAAGAACCTACACGTACTCAATCAACTCCATTAATAATGGTTCATGGTGAAAACGCAAAATTCACTTCTTCACCATCATCACTTGACCTTGTGTATTTTCCAAATAATTATGTAACTAAAAGTAGTCCATTAGGTAGAAAAAAAGCTGTCTATCTTGATCAATCAACGGAATTCACTTCCCCTTCTTCACCTATTACACCACTCGCAAACGTATTTCCTAGTCACTTAAATTAGTAATTACTTTATCATCGGGAAAAATAACATGCTTAAGATAATAACGGACAATTTTTTGCTGTTTTTTTTTTCTCCAATATTTTGTCATAACTTTTTCTTATTTTTTTTTTTTTTGATATTTTAATTCTCAAATTATTTTCAATGCTTCCTGTATATACGACGATCAGAAGAGAATTAAAAAACCCCCCAAAAAAATCTTTCTTTTGATAAATTCTATTTATGATAAAAAAACATATATATATATATATATAATTATAGATGTACTCTTTTTTTTCGTTTTTTTTTTTAAAAAAAAAACAAATCAAATATCTTTTTTTTTTACTCGAAAGTATGTAACGCCCTCTTTTATTATTACATTATTATTTTATATCAGAATATCAGAACATTGAGCTTTCAAAATAAGCATACATACACATACACATACACATATATATCATCATCATCATCATCATCATCAATGTTTTATCGATTTAAGCATTGGGTTTCAAATCGCACTAATTGACAATATATATATTTTTTTGTGATTAGTGTTTGTTTTTGTTGCAACCCAAAAGAAAAAAATACATTTTTTTTTTTTTTTGTTTTAAAGAAAAAAAATTTTCTATTTATTAATTTATAAATTACTTTATAAATTAAATTTTTTTTGTTTTATGACAAAAAAAAAGAAAAAAAATTTAAATAATAATAATAATAATAATAATAATCATAAATAAATCAATAAAAATTCTAATAAGCATGAATAACAAAAAAAAAATTTTTTTTTTTTTTATTATAATAACTTCAAAAGTGATTTTTTTATTTACAAAGAATGTTATCGAAAAGGGTTTCTTTCTAATAATTTCATTTTAAAATTTTTACTCTAATACTTGTTACGATTCAAACGAACGAACGAACGAATAGGAAGATTTGAATAAATATACTGTGGTTGATTTTGAATGGTTCATCTAGTAATAATAATTTGATGGTTTTAACTAGATTACTTTTAGAACTAGCCGTTAATAATTAAGGTTAAAAGCGGTTAGAAGTGGTTAGAAGCGGTTTGTAATGTTGTACCAGTCAGAAGATCGAATGAGTTTGGAATACAAGCAACTTGTCAATTCATGTAATTAAAAGTCAAGTTCAGTATCACAAACGCACGTACTGTACATACAACGTATGTACGTAAACTAATAATGTAAACTAATACGTAATGTAAAAAACTAATACGTAATGTAAAAACTAATACGTAATGTAAAACCGCAAGTAAATGCTCATACTGTAATATGCCTTATACGAATAAAAATATTTTTTTCTGATAATCTAGTGATCGATTATAATCCATTTTAAACATGACATTTTTGACCGTGCGTTATGAACAAGTCGGGTTTTTAAAAAAATCGGAAATTGATTATTAATGTATCAGATGTATCAAAGATGTATCAATATGTATCAAAGTGTATCAGGGTGTATCAAAGTGTATCAGAATGTATCGGATACGTAGTGATTAACTAATTTACGTTACCCGACAATCTTTACTATGAGATGCTATTTAAAGATGTACGAGTATATGCGTACATACTTACATATGTATGTGATGTATGTTATATGTACGTCATTAGTTTTTTAAATGTGCGAATGAAATTAAAGATTACTATTTGATGTCTAATAATAGATTTTATTTTTTTTTACTATCATATGTAAAAAAAAAAATCCATTTAAAAAATATATATATATATATATAGTTTGAAAGGTTAATTTTTAAGCTTAACGTATGCGTAATAAATGATTATGTGCATTAACCTTAAATTAATTGTAATTGGTCAGACAAAAAAAATATATATACTGGAACAATGATAATTTGACATAAGTATATTTAGATGAAACCAATGACATCAAGGATTCACTTTTACTAATATTACATTGGTCTTTCAATGGTATATCATTGTAAACGACAGTCTATTACTATACTATTTACTATACGTACTATTACTAAAGTACGTGCTAAAATTATATTATGTCCGAGCTTCAAAGTATATAAATCAAATGCATTAACGTTAACATGTTTTGTGTATTAAATAAAATGCATTAACATGTTTTGTCATATGACAAATACATGTATAATGCCCTGGCTTTTCTTCTTTCATTTCGGCGAACTGATCTTTTCCTAAATTAGGAATCCGTTATCAATAAATTAATTATAAAAAACGATATATATATTCCATTTCGGTATTCAGTCAGTCCGTACGTTCATCATGATCGGCTGAAATTTAATATATGATAAGTATTTCGTATGTAATAAATTATAACAAATTATAATTAGATCATCAGTATTGGTATCCAATCGTAATTTATTGCCATTCATCGACATTTTTAATCGATATCGAATATCTTTCAAAGATATCTTTCAAATAAAGAATAACGGAATTTTATGCTTATATATTTTAGACCAAAATAAATATGATAGTAACCAAAATAAATATGATAGTAAACGATAATATCGAGATGATACCAATATAGATCAGTGAATCAATCAAATATATGTAAAGATAGAAAGATGTATTTTACATCTTTACAGATATTTGATTTATGATTTATTCATTCGCCATACAATAAATTATATCAAAAATAAATTTCCGTCAGTGAAATGACTCTTACCTTTTTACATAATACAGTAATAAAAATTATAAATCACATGCATTACACATTACATGCATATAAAACCAATATTTTAAAAACTGCCTTACGTTATCTGTCACGGTGGCTACTACTTTAGTTTACGGTGTACAGTATTAATTATCGGAGAATTTTTAACTATCGTTATCTCTATTTGAGAATGATTAACATTTAAAAGAATCAGTCTGGATCATTCTAGTTCAAATTTTGTCATTAAAAAAGTGTGTTCCATTAATGTTTATTTTTCTTTTTTCGGTCAAAAATTTAATTATTTGATTGACAAAAAGAAATATAATATCAGTTATTGAAACAAGAGATCCACGTAATAAACGTTTTAAGAATTTTTAACATTAAAAGGTATAGATCGTTTCTTATAATAAATTTATAGTTTTAATCACTAATCTAGATAAATCGGTCATCCACTTTTCCATATCTGAATTATCCGGATAATTCAGAATGGATACTTACTGAATTATTCGGATATCGGATAAATTCAGTTCGGATACTTCGGATAACTGATACCCGATGATCATTCTTAACATTAATAGATTGGTATAGTAATGCAAACAAGTAATGTAAGTAATATTTTTTACCTCAATGACGAATGTTTGTAAATGTGTAAATATATATGAAAATTCAAGCTTAACCGATCCGTTGATCAGGTTGCGAATTTGTGTTTATATCATAATTATTTTATTTATTATTACTTATTACTTAATGTTAAAAGAAATAATAATTAAGTGGTAAATCGCAGTTGAAGGGTACAAATTTCATAGTAAAAAAATCGACCAAGATTCACTATTATTTTCATATAATGTTGAAATGTCGAAAGTTTTTTTTGCAATATGTAAATGTCATAAAGAAGAAAATGCAGTTTACCAAACAAATTTGAATAATTCTATCATTATTACTATTAGTACCGGAATAACTTGCTCTATAATCTTTGTTAGAAACTCAAGGATGATTTATTTTGCATAAAAAAAAAAACTTTTTATTGTAACCTTTTTGTTGTAACCGTTTTATTATAAACTTTTTATTATAAACTTTTTGTTGTAACCTTTTTGTTGTAAACTTTTTGTTGTAACCTTTTTGTTGCAAACTTTTTGTTGTAAATTTTTCATTGTAAACTTTTTATTGTAAACTTTTCATTATAAACTTTTTATTGTAAACTTTTCATTATAAACTTTTCATTATAAACTTTTCATTGTAAGCTTTTCATTATAAACTTTTCATTGTAAGCTTTTCATTATAAACTTTTCATTGTAAATTTTTCATTGTAAACTTTCATTGTAAACTTTTCATTGTAAAATTTTCATTGTAAGCTAGTTGCATTCAAACCCTATAAAAAAAAACTATATTAACTTCTACTATCAAATTTGCACGATTTACTTTCTTAATAATATGTTACTAAACTTGTTCATCTCTTAAATATGCCCTATATCGATATAGTAAGAAACGGAGTATTATGTAAATAACAAAAACTTTATTATTGGTCAATACGTTTGGCGGGAATCCTATCATTTTCCCGACAATATCAACTTTCGACAAATTCGCTCACATTAAGGTTAGTATTAGTGTTAGGGAAAATTATAGAGATCCGTTTGGTGAACAAAAATATCAAATAATAATTTTAAATTTCAAATAAAGTATATACATAAATGTTTCTTACTACTCTATGGTAACATAGCTTCTAATTTAATATGATTGCCGCCAAACATTATGCTAACTAATATAATACTACAATAAATGGTAATGAAACTTCTTTGTCAACACTCATGATAACTTTAAGCAAATTTAAACTAGACTACACTCAAAAAAAGAAACTAATTTATATATAATCGTTATACGGAGGGACTTCCCATAAAAATTCTATTATCACGTGATGATCGACGGTGATTTGGTGTAACGTAACACGATCAGGAAACTTGTTAAAAGAACGTTATTTTGTCAAAAATCCACATTTCTCGAAAATTTGCATAAGAAACCACCTTCTGTGCATTAACAAAAAATTTTCCTTGGCCGATTTTACTATTAAAATTTACTACTAAACCACCATAACACCAAAACTTAACATATATCCTAACCCTAACCTAAATGAACTTTAAAGAATTTTTTGATTACGTGACAGTAGAATTTTATATTGTCTCTGTAATTAGGGAAGTATAAAGCCTGGTACCTTCCGGTTTTCTGATTTTTAATTAATATTAGGGTTAGGGTTAGACACAGGCTAGAAGGTTAATAGATATATAGTAAAATCGCATTTTTGTCACTTTTACTTAGTACGTCAAGACCAGTTTAGATAGATTTTCGTGTTTTTGGCTTTGTTCGAAATAATGCGGAACATGTGT